CCAAACTTGTTCCCTGATGGGCAGGAATGATTGAACTGCTGAATTGTAACACTGAACACAAAGCTACTTCTCAATACCTCCTTCTCTGCCATAAACAGTCCTCATTATACCAATAGACAGGGGCTCTGATTGCATTTATTGGTGTGTTACTGATGTGTCCTGTCTTAGGAGTGCTTCCTCTTGGCATAGCATGGTACTCTATGCCTAACAGTACCTGCTGCCATGAGAGAAAATACAACACAAATGAAATCAGAAGAGATGCTCTGAGGCTGATCCAGCAAAAACCCATCTTACAAAAATACATTTTGCTGTCCTGATCTCAAACTTGAAGATATAAAGCTTTGAGATGAAGATGCTCTTTACATGCCTAGGATGGATGGCATTAAAGGGCATTCCTCTGCTCCTCCAAGCACTCATAGTGATTGCAACTGCAAATTTTATCACTCCTACTGTACTGCAAAGAAGCAGAGATAGGCCTACAGGGATGCTGTAGTAAACAGAATACTGAAAAAAAGTAAAGAAAAAACAAAAACTAAAGACAGACTGTATAAAATCAGCTGCCTCAATCTCATTCTTATTGGTCAGGATGAGGAAAACATTTATCCACATAATAAGCCAGTAAATGAATTAGGCAAAGAAAATTGTGATTGCAAACGAGAAAAAATAAACAAATTAAGACAATATTTTCCAGTTTTCTATAATGATTAATTCAATTTAAATTCAAAAAGAGACATCTACATATTTAGAAAATAGATATTGGGAGCCTGATTATTGCTTTTCCATATGTACTGCAGTCATGCAGTAGACATGTTGGCCAATATGTTGGTTTTTTTTAACTGTACATTGAGGACTAAATGCTGATTGCATTAAGAGTGGAACTCCTTCCTCAGTATACTTTTAAAAAGTTTATAATGTTTCAAAATGGTTATATTAGCAAGAAAGGCATGCATTAGTGGTTGTCAAGGAACTTCCTGAGGGCTGGAGCACCTCACCTACAAAGACAGGCTGAGGGAGCTGGGCTTGTTCAGCCTTGAGAAGAGAAGGCTGCGGGGTGACCTCATGGCAGCCTTCAGTACCTAAAGGGAGCCTACGAACAGGAGGGGAGTCAACTTTTTGGAAGGGTAGATAATGGCAGGACAAGGGGAGATGGTTTTATGTTGAGGGAGGGAAGATTTAGGTTGGATATCGGGGAAGTTCTTTACAGAGAGAGTGGTGAGATGCTGGAACAGGCTGCCCAGAGAGGTTGTTCAAGGCCAGGGTGGATGGGGTCCTGGGCAGCCTGGTCTAGTGTTAGATATTGAGGTTGGTGGTCCTACATGTGGCAGGGGAGTTGGAGCTTGATGATCCTTGAGGATCATCCAAACCAGGATGTCTGGTCTTCCAACCCACACCATTCTGTGATTCTATGATTCCTGGATGAAAAGTGAAATGCTGAAATGTGTTTTAGAAGCAGAGGAGACACATTCTGCTGCAATGACTTCCGACAAGAAAAGGGCACAAAATAGTTAAGTCATCTTTCTTTGGATAAATACATGGTCAAGTTGCTACTGAGAAGCATTTTTTCCAAATGTACATGTAGCATCTTACTAAAAATCTGGCATCTTTCTTTTTTCTCCTATTAAAAATGCCCTAGACTTGGGATTCCAACAGTCTCAATTGTCATCTTAGGCAATTGTGCACTCATCCAAATGAGTCACAAACTACAGATGACACGGAAAGTCCACACAGGCTAAGAAATCCTGACACTGGACAAAGATATTGTTAAAGGAGGGACCTCCTTTAGCTTGCTGTTGTGGTACTGTGCTTTTCAGATGTTTACTGATACAAATAAAAGAAAACAAAAAACAATAACAAAAGAACAGCAAAATGAGCAGCTGCAGTGTTGCTCCAATATGAGCAACGTGACCCAAAATCTCCTGGGCTATTTTCCTGAGGTGTCAGCAAACAAACGTAAAGATGTAAGGCCTCAGGAGTTTCTTCACATCTTCCATAGATGCTCTACCCTCTCTCTGCCAGACGAAACCGCCCCAAGGGAGCATTGACATACTTACAACAAGGGGCTCATCAGGCAGAAGTCAGGGCTCAGAGCTCTCCTGAACAGCTGGTCTCTCTGCACGCGCTTAGACAGCAGCTGACGGTGTCACCGCAGCTTGGGAAAGTGATTGAGAAAAGTGCTCTTTGTTTTCCAAGATTCATAAACTGATCTGTCCTATGGAAGGAATGGCCAAATTCATGTCTGATTTGTTTTGAAAACACAAGTGCTTTTTAGTCTTTCTGAGAAGAACCATTGATTCAGCATCATTAATGCGAAACAGGGAAAAAAAGAAAATTTTAATGACAGTGATCATAAAGATCATTAGTGACCATAGATACTGCAGGCATAATTTCATTCCTTTAGCTCATTGAATAGTGACCTTCAGATTTCTCATTGTGGCTGCACTTGTTGAAGTTAAAAAAGCCTATCCTGATATCATGGAAAGTGGGCTTAAATCACATCAAATGGGTAATTGGCGGTGCTTCTTTTGGTTTCTTTCTGATTCAACACAGAAAAAAAAATAGTTTGATGATGGGTTAAACGGGAGTTCTGGCTTGTCATTACTAAACTTGAGATTTTATTCATTTATGTGTCCTCTGCCAATTCAGAGTATACTGTAACCATTTCCCTAACTCTTTTTCTTCCCTTTATTTTCTCTGAACTGTCATGTAGTGCTGTTATGCATTAAAAGCCAGCTGTTCTCTCTCTCCCTAAAGTATGCAAGACAGTTTTATATGAAACAGTTTGTTGAGGTAGCTGAAACTTTAAATCTACTTGTATTTTAAAATCCATTTGCACTGCAACTCAGAATAGAAAAAATGTTCATCATAGACATGGAAATTCTGAAAATGCTCTGTTTTCTTAAATTTTCTAAATCTAAATGTGAATTCTGCTACACAACATTTGGGATCAATACAGATTAAGAACAATTTATAATGATTGTAAAGTAAACTTGCTCCCATATAACTCAGGCAGACTTCATCTTCTCTTGTAGTTCTGGAGAGTAACTCATGCTTTAAACTTAATAATTAGTTTCCCAACCAATGAGAAAAAGTACAGCGTTATATTTTTCCTAGGGCTTTCATTAAGATCTGTAGGTTCACTTCCCTCAAGACATGGATCTCTTAACAGAAGATTAAATCCATTTTCCTGATGGAATTTTATTGTTAGAATATTTTGGTTCTCTGACTATCTACTTAAAGTATTTAAATTAAAATGTGTCTAGATTTAGTCAACTGTTGATAAGATTTGCAGCTTCTAGTAGCTGAGAATATTTAAGCACATATGAACCAAATTTTATTATATTACAAATTGCCATGAGGAATCACATTTTAAACCAGACTTATGCAGAGTAAAACTAGAGTAATGCAAATAAAATTACTGTAGCTACTATAGATTTAAATCAGCAGGACAGATCACTATCTGCATCTGTAAGCAGTGTCTCTTATGTAAGGAGGTATAAAAGCATATATAGAATTAATATATGCACATACATATTATATAAAATGACCCCTTCATATATTATATAAAAAGGTATCTTCCTCACTTAAGCAGTGGTCCAACACTCTAGTATGTATGCAAGAGCAGAAAACCATTTAATGGACACTTCTCCTAGCATTCAATAGTATAGAGCTCATGACAGATTCAAGTTTTTCCATCCACAGTGTCATGCTGGAAGGAGTTCCTCAGCCCAAGTACACTTTGTGTGAAGAACTGTCTCAGCATTTGTTTTGAATCAATCCCTGCTATTTCATCTGATAGCACAATTAAGAAAGAAGACATATTAAAGGGCAATTAATTCATCCTGAGATGGAAGAACGGCCATACCAATAGCGAGGAGCTCTTGTAAAATGAAGCAATAACCAAAATATATCAATTCTTTTTTCTTTATTGTTTTTACCAGAAGATCATTCAGATTAGAAAATCTCTGCTTAAACTGCCAGAAATGATTGCAGTGAGCCTCAGCATAATGCAGTATCTACTAGGTATATGAAGGTGATAGGACGGAGGCTGGGACACGGGAGGTTGCTTAACCAAAAGTTGCCCTCACCTTTATAGCTTTCTGCCTCAGAGGCCCTAACTGCAGTCAGCAGGAACGTCCCACTCTTGAGTTCTGGGTTCAGCTGTTAGAAACCCTGCTAGTGGTAGCAGACACATACACCTGGATGACCAGAGCCCTCTGGGTGGCAGAGATTCTGTGAACATGACAACTACTGCAAATAATGGCCAACCAATCTTAAAAGGCACCAGGAAATGCTTTTTATCAGATAGAGATTATAGGTAAAACAACTGAGTCATTTTCCTATGGTACTGAAAAAGGAAAGAGGAAAAGAAGAAGGAAAATATGCTCTTAAAGCATATTTCTTCACAAAATGTACTTCAGAGATGGCATGAAGTTGATTTTATGTATCACCTGTCTTGGAAAGCTTTCATCTCTTCTCTATCATAGACCAACACTTCTTTTAGAGGTGGATCCAGAGCAAAAACCATTAGTAGCCCTTTTTTGTTCTTGTCTGTGCTTTATCTCTATCCAGGCATCTTCATACCCCTCAAGAGGGTTTGGTTCCAACATCTCTATGCATGCACTTTGGAACATCTCAGTAGGATGCTGGATCCCCCTTCCTACTTTGCTTGTCGTTATGTTGTCTTCAATACCCTTTCTGCACTTCTAATTTAGTGGATTTAAGATTCATTCATCAGTATTTCCTAAGTCCATATGAAAAAAGAAATACAGCAAAGGCAGCAGAGAAAACAACAGAAAGTTGTTTAGTTTGAAACAGAACCTCAGTATATGTTTAAGGATTCACTAAGGATGCTATTTCCAAGCTCAAGTACTCCTTAAAGGAAATAATTTTCCTATGCCAGACCCGAACCTGCAAGCCAAGATAAATCTTTCTCAGCATTTCCAGGTTCCTGAATTGTCTCCCCATCATCTCACAGAGTATAAGATTTTTAAGGGTTTTACCTGTGGAAACAGTCATCAGATCAATGTTTGACTGAGACTGCAATGATTATGACGATGAACAGCAGAACGGCCACAGCAGCAGAGAGGAGGCAGCACTTCATCTTCCTGGCTCGTAGCTGAAAGAAGAGAAAGAAATAAATGCAAGGATATTGGAATAGGAAGATGGAGAGTATATTCATGAATAAATTTTGCTATTTTTCCATCAATGAGACTATCTGACACAAAACAACGTGGTACAACATGGAGAACTTGTGTCTTTGTTCATAATGATCCATTCCTCTGAATGACCTCTTTTCTCCCTTTTCAAGGGAAATCTCCTTAAATATAATCACCTTCCTGATAAAACAATTGCACCTGTCCAGAGTTCTCTATCTTCCAACTGAAACATCAATCTAATTTGGAAGACTATGTTGATATTACTGACATTACCTACTTTTCACACCTTTCTCTAAGTGGTGTAATGAGCCCTAACAGTGGTTAGAAATTCTATGTTAAATGGTTTACACCTCTCTGTACTGCTATTACCCATAAAACTGAAGACTATCTTAAAACATCTAGATGTCCTTGTCCACTTCAGCGATGTCAGAGCCTTTCCTCTGTCAGCAGAGGATGCTAATAGGTCATTAAGCGATTTAGCATCCAGCAGCGGTCTAATATTTCTAATGAGAATTTCAAAGACTGTACGGTGGCTTTTATTTCAGACCCTTTGCAGAGAGGTTCCTTTATTTTGCTCTATCACTGCAAATTTATATTCACTGTTATTTTCTCCCTACATAGATTTTTTTCTTTTTTTTTTTTAAAGAGTGTAAAGCAACCATCACACTCAACCATAGACAGATTCATTGGAGGGTAGGAGAGAAAGGGCCAAGCCTGTATTCTGATATTTAGGTTAACATTTTATGACCTTGCCCTGGCTGGCAAGTCAGGATAATGATTCCTATTCTGTTAACATCTCTTACGAGATTCAGTAACACTGTCCTTTTTATAGCCCCCATGCACTTAACCAGCCCTGTCTTGTGAAGAGGACAATCTTGTATGTTGGTGAGGTGATGGATGCAACACTTGCTTGTAGGTATCCTTTGGGAGCTAGTAGGGAATCTATAGCCTTAGATTGATTGCATAGCTCTTGCAAGCTTTTCAGTGCCCTAATTAGTGAAGAAAGACATTAGCACGTAGCAGGTAGGGCAAATTGTTCTCATCACCAGATAGGATCTACAGACCATAGTATAGGGACCTTGAAGAATATGCAATAATAAACAGCATACACTATAATAGTAAACACAGCAAACTCTGGTTAATTATCCCCAGTTGAGGTTAACAGAGAGTGACTGCTAAACTGAGATTATAAACAATGTCTTGTCATTGTGGAGAGAAGTTGGGAAACAAATAATGCAGTCCTGTGACTCTTAATAGCCCCAAGACATCATGGCACATTGAAAACACATCACCATCAGAAATTTAAGGACTAAACAACTTGCATATGCTATGATTTAGTTTTCCCAGGTATGCATGTACAGTTAATGAAAAAATATTTTTCCCCAGCAGGATCTCTAATTTACTTGTTCAGTAAATGGGTAATTATTGAACTATGCACATACTGTATTTACATATATTTTACTTATAGATATTCTTAGTACATCCATTAAAGCCATTCTCACACGAGACCAGAAAAAACTTTAAACCTTTCACTTAACACCAAGGTCCTAATATTTCTACGGAAGTTTCAAGACAATAGAACCATTTAAAGAGTATCTTCCATTCCAAACATCAGTGTGCTTATGGGTTCATTTTAAGGTAAGGAAGTGGAGACAGAAACCATAGCTGGTAGCCTGGCTGATCTCAGGAATGTTCAAATTCCCCAAATAGTAAAAAATAATAATAATAAAAGCATGATGTAGTTTATTGAATCAGGGTTAATACACATGATAAACCATTTCCAAATCTGCAACAGGATCATTTCTCCCAAGGGCAAGATCCTGTAAAATGATTCATTTATTTTAGGACATAATTCTTCAGGGAACTTTGCTTTTTCATAACATATCCCATGCCTCCAACTAGTCTTCAGTTGATTTCACTCATCTTTTTCAAGCCCTTTCTCCCCTCAGCTACTGGAGATCTTTCTTTTGCACTGTCCACATTAATGTTACTGCTTATTTTCCTTGACTTTTCTGGGCTCTGCACAGGAAGCCTTACAGGCCTTTGACCTCCTCTCAGTTCCCATAGCCCAGTGCAACTCTCTCCCACAGCTGCAGGACTGTATGATAATTCTGTCAAGCTTCTTCTACTGTCAAGGAACACATACTGAAGTAATGGCATGCCTAGGAACAGTAACACAGCACAGGTACTGACAGCTGAGGTATCCTCGTGGTACAAACTAAATCTTGAGAGTGCTTCTCCCCCTTTCAGTTTCCAAGAAGTATTAAGGAAAATTGAGAAAACACTACTAAATTGTTTTTTTTTTCATAGATTTAAATGTTTTTTTTGCCAAATTCTCATAAAGATGGAAAAAAAAAGGCATGTCTCCTTTATCCATTTCTTTTCTGTTAAATTGTAAAGCTCTGTCCACATATATGCTGCACAAGAATATAACAAAACCTCCTAAAATATGTTTGTCCTACGGAATATATTTCCCAAAACTCTATTTTAGAAAACACTGATTACCTCTAACTATTAATTAAAGTATGTATCCGTATCTCTAAATATAAGAGAGATGGAAAACCTGACCCACAAAATTTCAGGCCAAATTTTAGACAAGTTTAAAGCAACTAGAGAGAATAATTTTCTGGTAGAAGATGTACGACAAAAAAATATAAGCAGTCTTATCTGATTTTATTTTAATTATATTAGTTTATCCTTAACCCCAAATGATGTGCTGTTGCATTGCTCTGGTATTACAGCTCTGTCCCAATCTGTTTTAAGACCATTTCCCATAACACAAGGAACTTGTTGATTAAATTTGAGCTAATCTATTTTCCTTGTAAACATTTGCCCAAGATGAAAAGAATATAGTGTGGGACCAAAAAAAGCCACCATCAAAAATAGGAGCAGCCCAAATCCTGAAGTAAGAAGTAATGGCTCTCTACAAGTTATTCTGCTAAGCTCTCAGGGCTTTTTAGTAACACATTATTAGTAAAGATATATTTTAGGCTTGACAAAAGCTCTTTAAGCACACATATGAAATAGTGAGGAGCGAAAAGCAGAAAAGGAATGAGCAAGGCTATTTAGGGACACAGCTGAGGAGTGCTTTACATTGACAGGAGAAGTGGATATGACTGAGCCTGGAAGAAATCCTTCCATCACCATTTCATAAAAGAAGCTGTAGGTCATGTTCTACAGCCTAGAAGGTATTTCTTTCTTGGGGGTGAAATGTTAAGAGACATTCTAATTATGTCACAACAGACAGTTAAATCATTAACAACTATTAAAACCCAGTACTGCCCTAGGCCCAGAAAAAGAAGATTCGTTTTGGAAATTCCTAAGTAAATGCAGTTACAAAGAGAAAAAAAAAAAAGTGTCTTTGCGAGAGAATCAAATGCTGGCAAGAACAAAGCATAAATAAGAGGAGAGTGGTCCAAAACTGCTTATCCTGTATGATTCAGATATGGAAAAGCATCGCTGTGGTTCTCTGCTATCTATGGATTGCTTCCACCATACACTGCAATTCAGGGAGGCAGAGAATTCCCAGCTGGCCTTCTTAAAGAAAACAAATATAAGAAGGACATAAAGCTATTATAGAGTGTCCAAAGCAGGGATATAATGATCACAGAATCACAGAATTGTAGGGCTGAAAGGAACCTCTAGCAGTCACCTAGTCCAACCGCCCTGCCAAAGCAGGTTCCCTAGATTAGGTTGCACAAGTAGGTGTCTTGGCAGGTCTTAAATGTCTCCAGAGGAGACTCCACAACCTCTCCGGACAGCCTGTTCCAGTGCTCTGCCACCCTTACTGTGAAGAAGTTCTTAAACACCTTTGTACTACGCTTCAGTTTGTGGCCATTTCCTCTTGTCCTGTCATCACGCACTGCTGAAAAGAGTCTGGCCTTGTCCCTTTGCCTCCTGCACCTTAGATATTTATAGACATGATGGGGAATGGTGTGGAGAGCAAGGTATATGGAAAGGGGCTTGCTAGGTTCAGCACAGAGCAGAGCAGACTGAGAGGAGGCTGTTCCTACAGCTCCATGGTTGTGGCATTTTCTAGGTCATCTTCAGGACAAAAGCCCTGGGCAGGTTGCTATCATTAGCCAAACTAATCTTGCAAATATCACACCTCCCTATTATGTCCCCCTCTGTTCACTGGCTTTAGATGAGGACAGGGATGAGGACAGCAGAGAAAGAGCAATGCTCAAGATTGCTCAGCATTGCTCTATAACTCTGCAACTCCCTCTATAATGAGGGGAAGTTGTAGCGAGGTGGGTGTTGGCCTCTTCTCTTGTATAACTAGTGATAGGATGAGAAGGAATGGCCTCGAGTTGTGCCAGAGGAGATTCAGAATGGACATTAGGAAATACTACTCTGAAAGAGTGGTCAGGCACTGGAATGTGCTGCCCAAGGAGGTGGTGGAGTCACCGATCTTGGAGATGTTCAAGGGACATTTAAATGTTGTGTTGAGGCACATGGTTTAGTGAGAACTAGTGGTGATACACACAGGTTGGACTGGATGATCTTGATCTTTTCCAACCTTGGTGATTCTGTGATTATATAATCTAACACCCAACATGTCTACCTCCCTCCAGCAATGTAAAATAGTGAAAGTAATGACACACCCCAGGCTTTTCAGCTAGGTTGCATGGGCAAGAATCTGATTTGTGGGAAAGTTCTATCTTTCAGTCTTCATTTCTAAGGTCATTATAGTAAGTGAGCAAAAAGCCATCCTGTACTCAGTGTAAAAGGACTCAGTAGGGCTATCCTGAGGAATGCTTTTTAAATAGTGCACAAATAATGAAGCATCTTCTAACAGAACAAGGATGACAAGAACTTGTGGAAGTACAATTCCACGAATCATGCAATGAAATATGTCTGTTACAGAGATCTATCTCCTGCAAGCTCATCTTGGCAGGAGGGATTAAAAAACAACCAACCAAACAGACAAAACAACAACAACAAAAACCCCTCAAAAATA